AATCCTCATCTCCAGAGCTTAGCTCGCCCTCCGATGCAGCGATCGACATCCTGTCCTCTGCCTGTGTCCCGCACAAGATGCTGGACCCCGCCCTGTCCGAGGACCCAGCACGCTCGTCCGGAAGCACCAGGTGGTGCGACATGCTCGAGGAATGAGAGGCCCGCGGAGACGTACTCGACGGGGAAGCTCTCACTGTAACCCTCAGGTCTCCCTGACCATGAACCGAAGTAGCCCTCCGAGAACCAGAGGAGCTAGAGCGGGGCATGGCAAGGGGGATACCCCCCCGTTTAATGAGGAGGTATCTGGACCGCAATGTCGCGATGGTCATGTTCCCGCAGTGAGAACATGACTCATCCATGAGCGCTGCTTCAGCGTGCTGTAAGCCCAAGCACGAGAGGCAGTGATCATGACCGTCAGATGAAGGCAGGAAACGACCGCATCCAGAAACGCACGAGCGGGAAGCCATCTTTAAAAAGACGCCCGTCGCTCGTGAAGCTCTTTTAGAAATAGCTCTTTTAGAATTTTTGGAAACACTCTTTTAGAGAGAGCGCTGAAGCGCCCAGGGGAGGTCGCGGCAAGACCACAGAATGAAAGCTGCAGCCCGCCGAGATTTCAGCAGCCTGAATGGCAATCCCCGCTGATACGCCGTCACACCAACCCCAGCTGTTTCTCTTGAACACTCGCGGAGATTCGTCCTGTAGAAGGCTCGGCTCCGAAGCGAAAAGCTGATGTGCGTTTGCACGCGCTCTCCTTTTATACCCGCGCTGCGGGGCGGGGTGCGCGTGGCGAAACACGCACGCCAACTGTCATTGGCTTGTTTAGTTAACACTCGAAGGTGATTGGGCTCTCGGGCGAGATCCCAATTCGTCAGTCACTGACGTAACGTAGAACGTGACTGACTGAATGGGAACATGTAGCGCATTGTTGTTGTTGTTGTTCTGCCGGCACACCAAAAATGCAGCTTCTCAGTGACAACATAGGGATGCCGCTCGCATCATTCACAGTCGGGTTATTAGCAGAGAACAAAGAGCAGGACTTGAATTTCAGCGCGGGATTGTGGCTATTAATAACAATTGTACTCATTCCCGCAGGTTCCGCGCTTATAACATGATGACAGATGACGGAACGTATCATTTGCACGTGCTTTTGAGTCTTGAGAACTCACTCACGCGCTCTCATTTTCTGTATTTTTTATTAATACTAATTTCATATGATTGGTAACCTATTTGTCTTATTCTACTTCTTATTATATTGTTTTAAAAAGAAATTTTAAAAAGGTTATAAACATACATTTTTGAATTTGACATAGATGAAAAAGATGCCATTACAAAGGTAAAAAGAAAATACTCCTTGTACCCATGTACAAGGTTTAAAATGCTCATGAAATATTTTCAAAAAATACTGACGTTTTGAGCAGCTGCATGTTTGAGCTGCATTCCTCTAGGTCAAAGATGAAAAAATGGGATTTACAATAAAAAGTAATTTACAAAATAATTTTGACTTGAGTTTATTTATTAGTGAGTAACGTATCTTTTGAGTGAATGTGCCAATTTTTAATGTTAACAGGTTTTACCATTGTTATTACAACATTTATCCACTTTTTATTAATTTAAAAATTGAGAAATTCTTTCAAATTTAAATCTTGTACAAGAACTACAGCAAAAATCAGTTTGATGCATATTTTAGAAATATTTTAGAAATTGAATTTTGTTTATCACCAGTACCGACTTCAATGGATTTCATTAAATTCCTTTGAACACAACTGTTCATAACGGTCTAAATTTATTAAACCTACACATTCAAAACATTATTACTCTGAAATGTTTAATGTAAATGTTAAGTGTACGTGAAATGTTAAGTACTGTAAGGTCTTTCATGACACTACATATGCTGGGGTGTGAATTTGATAGGTGCTTGATATAAAATAAATGGTGCTTTAAAAAGTCCTTGAAAGTCCTTGAATCTGATGTTCATGAAAGAGTGGGAACCCTGTAAGTATTATTTAGTATTATAGGATGTAATTTAAAATATGAAAGGCACTTAATTAAATACTTGTAACTTAATTATGCACATTATGGCAATAAAATGTGTAACAGAACGAAAATGAAAAGTTACAGTGAGGGATTGAACTGTAGGGAGTTAAAAGGTTTTCACTCAAAGCTGTTTAAAGCAGGGTAATTGTCTGTAAATAAAACAAAAATTATTATAAATAAAGATGGAATAAAATATAAATATTAGATGAAAAAAATTTACTAAACGAGAACTAGAAATGTTAAGTTAAAGCACTAAAATTATTAACTGCAAATAAACTACAACATAATAAAAAAAAAATATATATATATATATATATATATATATATATATATACTGTATATATATAAAAAATAAAATAAATTCAACCTAAATAGTATTTAAAAATAAATAAATAAATGACAAAAGTACAGACTAAAATGACTGAAAATTAAACTAAAATTAAAATTAAAATGGAACTAAAACTAAAACTGAAATAAAAATAAATGGAACCCAAATATAATATAAGAAATACATGATAAAATTACAATTAAAAAAAATGAAATAAACTATATGAAACCTAAATAATATAAAAAAGAAAAAGTAATAAATTACAAAAGTAAATAACAAAATTACTAAAAATTAAACTTGAAAATAAAAACTGAAAATATAGAAATTAAAGCTAATTCAAAATATTAATAAAAACAACAGTAGTATATAATTAACACTATTTTAAAGTATCGGAAATGTTTTTGTGCCTTTCATGTTTTATCTTGACATTGAACGTTTGGCCATCACCCATTTGACCTTCAGATATGAGTCAGAGTCAGCTGGCAGTGCCTGTCCCGTTAAACGACATCCCGTCCTCCATCGCAGAGCTGCTCAACGAGGAGGAATGCTGGGAATTCAATATCCTGGAGCTGGAAGCAGCTACTCACAAGAGGTACCAGAAAGCGAGACTTTTCTTTGAGTAAATCTTGTTTTTAATGGGAAAAGTTCTGATTTGTTATAGTGTGTGTGTGTGTGTGTGTGTGTGTGTTTGCAGGCCACTTTCATACCTGGGGCTGAAGATCTTCTCTGCTTTTGGCGTGTGTGAGTTCCTGAACTGCACAGAGGCCACGTTGCGCTCGTGGCTGCAGGTGATCGAGGCTAATTACCACGCATCCAACTCCTACCACAACTCAACACATGCCGCAGACGTCCTGCACGCCACAGCCTACTTCCTGCGCAAGGACCGAGTCAAGGTAACCCTGACAACCAAACAGAATACAGAAATAAAAATGTCTCAATTTATACTTTGATCAAAAATGAAAACATCGGCCAAAGGTAAGAACAGCCTTTTTAAGGATTTATTAAGACTTATTTTGTTTACTTGTTTTGACCGTTCATCAGGCCTGAGTTTCAATACTAACTCATTTATTCAAAAGTATAGTTAACATTGTTGCAAATTTCTAAATAAATGTTTTCTTTTATTATTAATTATGCTAATATAAAAACCATTAAATTAATGTAAAATGTTATTTAAATTAAAAGTGTAATTTTTTTTTTTATTCCATTGTAAATAAATGTATAGTTTATAAAGTAATTTTATCAATTAAATATAATAATAAAGTTGTGCCATACATTTACAGTTTACCTCAGCCAAATAAACTGGATTGAATCTGAATTTTGTTTATATCGAATTAATTATATACAAGACTGATCAACTTATATGTGTCAATAACTAATTATACTTTTAATTTTAATATTTTAATATTTATTTATTTAATATTTTATGAACATGCATTTTTACAAATACTGTAAATTTTATATTTATATTAGATTATATTATTTAATATAAAATGAATTTAATAATAATATCATATTAAATTCAAATTCAAAATACATAAGTGTTCAAATTAAAATTAGAATTTTAATATTTAACATCATATTAGAGTAAAAAAAAAAAAATTATGTTAATGCTGTTAATGCAAACAAATTCTTAAAAAAAATAATAATAAACGGAACTAAAAAAAATAAGAACACCCAAAAAGCAAAAAAACTCATTAATTTATAGTATTTAATACTATTTTCTTGATATGTTGTTCAAAATTCACTCTAAAATGTTTAAAACAAAAATTGTGCATCATCTATTGATAAAGCCAGTTAAGTTGCCACAGTTATTGACTGATGCTGTTAATCTCATAAAACAGTCAGCCACTAATATTGAGCTGACCTAAACCATTTTGAGTTACTTCTAAAACTTACCTACGGTATCTGTGCTGTGTTTGCAGGGCAGTCTTGACCAGTTGGATGAAGTAGCGGCGCTGTTGGCAGCAACGGTCCATGACGTTGATCACCCGGGCCGCACCAACTCATTCCTGTGCAATGCAGGCAGCGATCTGGCCATTCTGTACAACGACACGGCCGTCCTGGAGAGTCACCACGCCGCTCTAGCGTTCCAGCTTACTGTACGAGACAGCAAGTGCAACATCTTCAAAAACATGGAAAGGTATCAGTGTCAGCTAAATCATACCTTTCATATGACTCACACTGATGCATGACTCAACTCTCTCAACCTCTCCATATTCAGGACTCAGTTTCGAACCCTACGGCAGGCCATAATAGACATGGTGCTGGCGACAGAAATGACGCGACACTTTGAACACGTCAACAAGTTCGTAAACAGCATCAACAAACCCATGAGTGCCATTGAGGAGACAAGCTCCAATGTAAGACACACAATACTGTTTTTCCATACTGTTTGAGTACAGTCTGACAAATGCAGATCTGCATGTGTTACAGAGTGAAGGCAGTGATTGTGAGGGTCAGGCCAGTATTCGCAACTCTCCTGAGAATCGTCTGTTAATTAAACGGATGCTGATTAAATGTGCCGATGTGGCCAATCCCTGCAGACCTCTGGAGCTCTGCATCGAATGGGCTGGTCGCATTTCAGAGGAATACTTTGCTCAGGTAAAAACATTCAGTCACAATTGCACATGCTTGCAATGTCTTTCGAATTTTTATTGTCATTTAACTTTAATAAAATGTTGTATTTCCAAGTAAAATACAGTGTTTCTGAAGTATAGTATGTAGCACTTGATTATCCCGATTGGACCACAAGAAATGAGTTGAAATAATTTTATTTTCTAATTGTATTGGGTAATTGATGAAAAGATTGATGAAAAAATAGAATTATTATGTGTATTTATTTATTACATTACATTTGACATAATATACAAAAGTTAATATTCAATTACTATTTCAATTTAAAATACATATACTGAATTTAAAATTCTAATTTTAATATTAATATTTAATTTGTAATATCTTTAATAGCTATATCTCAATATTTACTAACAGTTCCCTCAAAAAGGTTTAAAACCGAAATTATTTATTGCACACATTATCTATTGAAAAAGCTAGTTTTTGTTTTTTGATGAACAAAATATTTATTTATTAAATTATATTTGACATAATATACAAAAACTAATATTCAACAACTATTTCAATTCAAAATGCATGTGCTGAAATTTAAAGGATAATTTTAATATTAATATTTAATGTTAATTTGTAATATCTTAATAATTACTTAAAATTCACTCAAAAATGCTTCAAGCTGTAATTATCTATTGCACGCATTATCTATTGAAAAAGCCAGGTAAGATGCCACAGTTCTTGACTAATGCTGTTAATCTCAAAATGGCCAAATAATGGCAGATAAAATTGGTCAGCCACTAAATTGATATTAATAAAATATATATATATTTTTACAATAATTTGTCTTTGCTTTCTGTATTTGCGATCTCCTTCTTTCCTTAGACTGACGAGGAGAAAAGACAAGGTTTGCCGGTTGTCATGCCAGTGTTTGACCGGAATACCTGCAGCATTCCTAAATCCCAGATCTCATTTATCGACTATTTCATCACGGACATGTTTGATGCCTGGGATGGTAAATATACACACACGCACTACATAATACATAGCCATTCAAAAATTGGATATCTCAGTATTTATGTTTTGGCATTTGCTTTCAGCCTCATAGCAGTGTTATTTTAGTATCATTGAGATACACTTATGGTTTTTATTAATATTTTGAAGTAGTTTTTATTCTTATATTTTCTGCTTTCATTTTGATTTAAAAAGTTTTAGTAATTTTGTTGTGTATGTTGTTTCTTTTTTTAAATATGTAATATTTTTTATGTAAATATTTTTATTTCAGTTTATATTTTTTTATTCCAGTTATAGTTATTTTAATACATCAAGTAAAACTAAATAAGAAATGTATCCTCGGCAACTAGCTGAAATCAATCAAATTTAGTTAAAAAATGTAAAATATTTCATTTCAATGTTTATTTTATTTCAAATAAAACAACGCTTCCTCACAGCCAACTGAGAAAAAAAACAAGCACTCAAAAGACAGACAAAAGGTTTATTTGAAAATCATACATTGCTCTCATGTTGCCAGAAATAATCTTCAACTGGTTTATTAGATCTTGCCTTAGGTTTCCTGTAATATTTATGATGATTTTTATTTTGCAGCAAAATCATTGTGAATATAAAATAAATATGAAATATTTCACACAGCTCTACAACAAATCCAGAAAAAAATCACCAAACACTGAGTAGAAAATAATCATTCTAATACACAATAATGAGGAAGTATTTTGCATGTGTTTGGGAGAGAGACAGAGAGAGAGAGAGAATACTTTCCCAGGCATCTTTTGACTCATCTGGTTCTCCTAAAAGAGATGAAATGGTCCATTAGCAGCAGTAGATGTTGGACTGGAGGGGTTGAGAACGGGGGTTGTGTTAGATGGTTGCTGAGAGGTTGTGATAATGTTGAGCTGATTGTGGCGAGCTTTGGAAACTTTAGGTTCTGTGTTTCCCACTGAGCCAAACCCCGGAGAATAAACCTGCTTACTGTCAACACACAACAGCCGTGATGTCACGGAAACTTTAAAAATGGTGGAAAGGGGAAGGGGTGAGTGTGTGTGTGTATGTGAGAGAGAGAAAGAATGTGCATCTGTGTGTGTGTGTGTCTTTGATTTTCGTAGTCTGGGGTCAGGATGCAGTGAAGCAGAATCTCTTGAGCTCTCCGCAGATTTAGTTCCCAAGGTCACGATCAGGTCAGTTTATCATAGAGGAGCTGCGTGTGTGTGTGTGTGTCTGTGTGTCTGTGTGCGTGACAGATTCAGCAGGGGGCACAGAAAACATCCTCAGGAGGATGTACCAGAAATCTGAGCGTGTGTGCATATGTGTGAACATTCAAATTGCCATATTTACACTCATGCAAACAACACATACACTCAACCGTCTGCCAGAAACCAGTGCAGCCAAACAGATGGTGAGATGAGAAAGAAAAACATTAGAATTATCAACACTTGCTTACTGTTACATACTAGATAGATAGATAGATAGATAGATAGATAGATAGATAGGTTTTTATAAACAATTTTTTTAATTAACAATACATTTCTATAAAATGTTTATATAATTGTTTTAGATTTTTATATTTTATTATGAATTTATATTATTGTTTCCAAAAATATAAATATCATAAGATATAAATATAAATGGAATATACTTTAAAAACAATTAACTCAGATCAAAATCTAAAAAAACACACACACCCATAAAATATATAAAAAATAATTTAAGATTTTATTATTATTAATATTATTTTATTATCAGGCTATTGGCTGCTTATCATTTCCTATAGCTAATTTCTTCTCTCTCTTTCTCTCCCTATTTTAGCCTAATTTTAGTTTTTAGGTTATCTGTTATAGTATTCTATCTATATAACAATTGTTTATTTCCTAGAGCTAATTTCTCTCTCTCTTTCTCTCTTTCTCTCTCAGCCTTTGCCAGTTTGCCAGGTCTTATGGAGAATTTAGCGGAGAACTACAAATACTGGAAGAATTTGGATGAGATGAAATGTAAAAGCTTACGGCCTCCACCTCCTCCGTGACCCTCATGACTCTTACCGTCGAGGTCAAAGGTCAGAGGTTACGCCGTGAATGTAGCATCTCTACATGGCCTCCAAGTTTCCGTCCACTGAACATAGATCAGCAGCCCTGTTTCCCTGACGACGCTCCACCCCTAGTGACAATCACCCGGTAACAAGTGTAAAACAGACAAATGACAAAACGAATGCACTTTATCAGCAGACAGTCCTCTTCCAGCATCTTTTCACTTTCTTTTCTTCTCTTCTCTTTTAAAATCCATCTGTTCTCCCAGCTGTTTTTAATGATTTCTGGGCAGTGATTTTTTTGTAATGTCTGACACAAGAAGACAAAGACTGATCTTAGTCCAGTAGAGGACTGTATATACTATATGCGCTCAAATATGGAACTGAAACGTGAATGATCAGAGAGGTCTGTGTCTGTACATGTGCACACGTAACATTAACAGACATGTGGAATCACAGATCCAAATGCCAAAAGGGCTTTATTTGGAAGCAGAGTGTCAGTGAGACTGAGCTACTTGGGAAACCAAAAAGGACCCAGTAGCGAGCCCTGAGGCACGCCACATTTTCCCCACTATTGATTTGTTAAAATACAACACGGATATTTTGACAATATTGTTGACAGAAGCAAATGTCAAGTTGCCAAAATGGAAGAAATGAAGACACGTTTGTATTCGGATGATGAAACTGTATTGACCAGCACTGAACACGATTCAGTGTGCGAGAATGTAAAAACTGCGATGGATCAGCCCATTGTGGGCCGTCATAATTCCGGCACTTTCTGTATCAGAACAACTCAAGCCTTTCTCAGACTCCAAGGACTGGTGTGTAATAATCAATCATTTTGATATAAATAGCCAATAATAACAAAGAATATATTTCTCAGAAACACTGTATATCCAGACACATACTGTAATAACGTGAAGCTTGATGATGCGTGTGTGAGCAAAAGTGTGTTTGTTACGATGTGCATAGTGATGATAGTTATGATTTTTACATTTTACACATGACAGTTAACATTCCTAATTCACGCAACAGTCCGTACGGATGCAAAATTCCCTAATCTTCAGAGTTATACTGTGTGTAAACCTAAAGTCCAGCACAGTCTCATTATGAGACCACCGACACGGTGACGTTTGCTCATGCTGATATTTTAAGTGTTACACCATTTTTAAGTATTATTTATTTACAAATGAGCTCAGCTGTATATCACTGTTAGAATCTTTTACCATAGACACGCATCGCAGACGAGCTTCAAACGCTCACCTTTTGTAGGCCAAAAACCAGCGCCGAAGGTGCGTTTATAATCAAACACGATGATGAGTTTTAAACAGATGTTTGGCTGAAGCCGTTTCGACTGGAAAAAGAACTAGTTTAGATATCTTGTGTCACATGAGACATTTTTTTTTTTAAAAACCCAAATGTTTTTATTAAACGTAGCTATTGGTGTCATTTGTTATTTGCGCACCTCATTTTTATCGGGTTACATTTGGACACGTAGCTGAATTGCATTGGCTCGCAGACAGGCTTAGTAGGAATTTATTACATGTTTATATTCGGTCGACGTTCGGCCTTTTACTCTTTATTGTCGGAAAGGAGCTCTTGAGAACTTCATCTTCACAGCAAGTGTTCTAGAACACCAGCACGACACCACAGAAAGTTCTAGCACGTTCTGCATGGAGTGTTCTAAATGCGATGACATCATAATGACAAACCGTTCTGGCACGCATCACAAAGGCAGATGATTCCACAATGCCCTTGTAAGATGGCAGCAGTTGTTTTTGTTGTTCTTGGGTTGGCAGTGCATCACAGCGAGTGTTTTTAGGTGCTCCAGACAGCATTGTGCGGTTAAAGGTATGCGGTGCACATTCAGCAGCGTGCAGGGTTTTGATTTTTCCTCTTTCCTGTTCTCTCATCCTTCCTGATTCTATCCGTTTCCCTCCCTTTTTTCTTTAATGTGGTCACAAGGGTAGAACAGTGGTTTTGCTAGCCTGTATATGTCATGTATTACATATAATTTTGAAGCCTGTATATGTAATGTATTATATAAAGCATTCTTAATGCATTATAAAATTAGGATCAGTGGGTAGCAGCTAATGTTAAGATTTTAAAATCATCAGTATTGGTCTAAATCAGACAATATTGTAGCAAATAATACCAGGGATTATTTTTCCTAATTTAAAAAAAACTTTTTTATATGATATAAATATTCCAATGTAACCATTATGGTTTAACACATGAAATTGGTTTATGATTAAGGCATTATGCTATTTAAAAGTCTAATTGACTAATTAAATAAGCACTGTAATGTATTGCAAGTATGGCTATGTTTATGCTGAAGTACATAAAACTGATTTATTATATGAATGCATTAAGAATTCCTTTATAATATACTAGATATGCATGCTTAATAGAAATAATACTGGTTCTTTCAGACCCATTTTTGCCATTTATTTGGAACGCTACATATATGAATGCTGCAGCGCAAATTATGGCAGATGCTCTTGTCGTCCTCTAGTGGTAAATCTAGAGATCCACACACATTATTAAACTCAATTGATGCTGTTACATAGTTGTATATACAGTATATATATATATATATATCATGTGATATTGAAGACTGAAATAATGGCAAATGATGAATGAAGTAATTCATTTCACAATATTACTTATTTTATTATATTTTTATCAAATAAATGCAGCCTTTTCTGAACCGTTTATAAATAGTGTATTTATCATTTTCTTTACAAACAGAACATTTTTAAGTTGATTTGATTGATTTGATTTATTTTTACGCATATATTGCGTTAAAAAGTTTTAATGACTACTATTATTCTAAAATATGACAGTAGTCATAATAAAGAGTAAGTAGGTGTGTCCAAACGTTTGACTGGTAGAAAACACAAATGTGCCCTTTCTGGAGATGATAGCTCTCATTTTAGTGGTTCGCTGTACATCACTGCCAGTTCGGACATCCTGTAGAGCAAAATGAAATGAATTTCCATTCTACATTCCAGTCCATCGCGCGACTGTATTGACTGAACAAAGACACAGTAACCTGTAACGCACAGTGAACAGACACCAGTGGAGATTCGACTCCTCTCAGACGAGTCTGGATTTGGTCTGATTCCGGCTTTGGAGCCGACTGAGATAAAGCCATAGAACATTCTAGAACTAATCATAGAAATACAGGTCAGAAGATGATGCATCTATTCCCTCTTTTCCTGTCCTCCACCCTGCTCATCCTCTTTCTTCCTGTCTTTCTGTGTTGAAAAAGCTCCTGCATTATTCTGCTTCACAACCAAACATTATATACTGCATATTGCATTCTGACACACAGGGTTTCCAGGTCATTTAAAGTACAAAATGTAATCGGGGGAAACCCCTTTATAAGCTCAGATATTTTGATTATGAATTTATATAGACTCTTTTACAGATATTAATATGCAGTATAGAGTTTAGAGAGAATATTCAGGTTCATGCCTTAATCTCTATTATCAAACGCTTCTCGTTCACTTGTCAACACTGATGATGAGATTCATCACAAACCTGATTTGAAGTACAGAGTGACTGTACAATGTGACCATGTGATTGTTTCCTTCCAAAGGTCCATTGTAATATTAAGATGATGATGATTAGTAGTTGTTCTGGTGGTGGTTGGTTAATTTGGTTACTGGTGGTTTAGTTTGTTGTTGAATGTTTAGTGATGAAGATGTGCTTAAAAGAACAGTCTGGCTTCAATACATGTTTCATCAACAGTATTTGGAGCATGATGTTGATTATCATTGTTGAAAATCATTTTGACTCGTCCCTCTTTTTTTTAATAAAACATAAAAGATAGATAGATAGATAGATAGATAGATAGATAGATAGATAGATAGATAGATAGATAGATAGATAGATAGATAGATAGGTTTTTATAAACAATTTTTTTAATTAACAATACATTTCTATAAAATGTTTATATAATTGTTTTAGATTTTTATATTTTATTATGAATTTATATTATTGTTTCCAAAAATATAAATATCATAAGATATAAATATAAATGGAATATACTTTAAAAACAATTAACTCAGATCAAAATCTAAAAAAACACACACACCCATAAAATATATAAAAAATAATTTAAGATTTTATTATTATTAATATTATTTTATTATCAGGCTATTGGCTGCTTATCATTTCCTATAGCTAATTTCTTCTCTCTCTTTCTCTCCCTATTTTAGCCTAATTTTAGTTTTTAGGTTATCTGTTATAGTATTCTATCTATATAACAATTGTTTATTTCCTAGAGCTAATTTCTCTCTCTCTTTCTCTCTTTCTCTCTCAGCCTTTGCCAGTTTGCCAGGTCTTATGGAGAATTTAGCGGAGAACTACAAATACTGGAAGAATTTGGATGAGATGAAATGTAAAAGCTTACGGCCTCCACCTCCTCCGTGACCCTCATGACTCTTACCGTCGAGGTCAAAGGTCAGAGGTTATGCCGTGAATGTAGCATCTCTACCTGGCCTCCAAGTTTCCGTCCACTGAACATAGATCAGCAGCCCTGTTTCCCTGACGACGCTCCACCCCTAGTGACAATCACCCGGTAACAAGTGTAAAACAGACAAATGACAAAACGAATGCACTTTATCAGCAGACAGTCCTCTTCCAGCATCTTTTCACTTTCTTTTCTTCTCTTCTCTTTTAAAATCCATCTGTTCTCCCAGCTGTTTTTAATGATTTCTGGGCAGTGATTTTTTTGTAATGTCTGACACAAGAAGACAAAGACTGATCTTAGTCCAGTAGAGGACTGTATATACTATATGCGCTCAAATATGGAACTGAAACGTGAATGATCAGAGAGGTCTGTGTCTGTACATGTGCACACGTAACATTAACAGACATGTGGAATCACAGATCCAAATGCCAAAAGGGCTTTATTTGGAAGCAGAGTGTCAGTGAGACTGAGCTACTTGGGAAACCAAAAAGGACCCAGTAGCGAGCCCTGAGGCACGCCACATTTTCCCCACTATTGATTTGTTAAAATACAACACGGATATTTTGACAATATTGTTGACAGAAGCAAATGTCAAGTTGCCAAAATGGAAGAAATGAAGACACGTTTGTATTCGGATGATGAAACTGTATTGACCAGCACTGAACACGATTCAGTGTGCGAGAATGTAAAAACTGCGATGGATCAGCCCATTGTGGGCCGTCATAATTCCGGCACTTTCTGTATCAGAACAACTCAAGCCTTTCTCAGACTCCAAGGACTGGTGTGTAATAATCAATCATTTTGATATAAATAGCCAATAATAACAAAGAATATATTTCTCAGAAACACTGTATATCCAGACACATACTGTAATAACGTGAAGCTTGATGATGCGTGTGTGAGCAAAAGTGTGTTTGTTACGATGTGCATAGTGATGATAGTTATGATTTTTACATTTTACACATGACAGTTAACATTCCTAATTCACGCAACAGTCCGTACGGATGCAAAATTCCCTAATCTTCAGAGTTATACTGTGTGTAAACCTAAAGTCCAGCACAGTCTCATTATGAGACCACCGACACGGTGACGTTTGCTCATGCTGATATTTTAAGTGTTACACCATTTTTAAGTATTATTTATTTACAAATGAGCTCAGCTGTATATCACTGTTAGAATCTTTTACCATAGACACGCATCGCAGACGAGCTTCAAACGCTCACCTTTTGTAGGCCAAAAACCAGCGCCGAAGGTGCGTTTATAATCAAACACGATGATGAGTTTTAAACAGATGTTTGGCTGAAGCCGTTTCGACTGGAAAAAGAACTAGTTTAGATATCTTGTGTCACATGAGACATTTTTTTTTTTAAAAACCCAAATGTTTTTATTAAACGTAGCTATTGGTGTCATTTGTTATTTGCGCACCTCATTTTTATCGGGTTACATTTGGACACGTAGCTGAATTGCATTGGCTCGCAGACAGGCTTAGTAGGAATTTATTACATGTTTATATTCGGTCGACGTTCGGCCTTTTACTCTTTATTGTCGGAAAGGAGCTCTTGAGAACTTCATCTTCACAGCAAGTGTTCTAGAACACCAGCACGACACCACAGAGAGTTCTAGCACGTTCTGCATGGAGTGTTCTAAATGCGATGACATCATAATGACAAACCGTTCTGGCACGCATCACAAAGGCAGATGATTCCACAATGCCCTTGTAAGATGGCAGCAGTTGTTTTTGTTGTTCTTGGGTTGGCAGTGCATCACAGCGAGTGTTTTTAGGTGCTCCAGACAGCATTGTGCGGTTAAAGGTATGCGGTGCACATTCAGCAGCGTGCAGGGTTTTGATTTTTCCTCTTTCCTGTTCTCTCATCCTTCCTGATTCTATCCGTTTCCCTCCCTTTTTTCTTTAATGTGGTC